GGGCCTGCCCCAAAACTCATGTTTGTGACATTTGGAAGTTTTCAAATGTTTGCTTCGGTGACAGAGTGGTTCTCTGGAGGTTTATCAGAGCTCAGTGGGAGACATTTCTTTTAATGAGGACGACCTGCAACTCAAAAGTCAATGCAGAACAGAGAATGAATGAAGCAGTTAAAAGATGTGAGGGTTAAAGCTAATAATCATCTGGGCGCAGCGTTTCTGTGTATCCCACAGTTTCTTAGAACCAGTTTATTAGGCATGCAATTGGCAGCTGGATGCTCTATCAGATGATTTTGGGACATTACAGGACACACAGTGTTAAAGGTCTTTAGGCTCATAATCTTACGTTGTATTATTATGTCTTATTCAGACATTGCGTCCGCTTATCAGACGAACTGTGTAGGTTGCTTTATTAAATAAATAATAATAGCTCTAAACAGCTTTCCTATTCACCACAACTAAGCAAAAGCATGGTTGGGTTTGACACAATTAGGACAACATTCATTGGATACACTACGCAACTTGGAGGTGCAAATTTTTATACAGATTTTCAGCCTCAAATATTTAAGTGGTACTTGCTCTCCCACCATCGGTCCTGTACACTGCCAGCCATAGCAGGGATTATTAGCTGAGACAACCGTGACAAACATCAGGATGTGATTAATTTGGGAACAAAACACAATGAAGATTCAAGTTACTAAGATTTATTAAGGTCACTGAAACCAGTATATCAATTACAAGATGCAAAAACAAAAGGAAAGAAAGAAATTAAATATCTGATGTCATAGAATTTCAACAGCTTTCGTTTGTTTGTTTGGCTGATTTTGGTTTAAAATGGAAAACATACAAATTGTCTTATATGTGGAAAAAATGCGCCTCTAAGTTCTTTCTCTCAAACAGGGTTTTCATTGAGCCTGGATAGTCAGAAGTGACTCTGAGTATGCACTACATTTCACTGAATCGAGTCTCTACTAAATATGCTTGACTATGCTGGCAGTTTAAGTGGATGGGGTGAAGACAAGACAAGACTCAAGACTGGGCCTAGTCTGCTTTATTTGAGCAAAAATAACAATTATGTTTTGGTAAATAATTGTCACGTTAGTTATCCAACATGATTACTCATCAAGTAAATAAAAACTCAACGTAAAAGAATATTTACAGATGACTTCCTTAAAACCTAAAGAGCCAAATTTAAAAGAAAATTGAATGGATGAAGAAAAAAGATGGAGGTGGAGGCATTGTGTTGTATTCCAGGTATTGCTAGTGACGGCTGAATGGCTCTACCTTGCTAGAGAGTAAAACCTTACCTGTTTTTCTGACTACTTCCACTGGAACATGGTCAACTCAGATGTGCCATCAATCTCAGTTCTGACATTAATAAACTGAGTGAGTTACAGCTTTGAGGGAGAGTTGAAAAAATGCACTGCGGAGAGAAAAAATGTGTACTTAAATTCTAAGACAAAACAACAAAAGCTTGGTAGTGAAATGATTGCAAACTAATAATCACATTATTCTGATTTCTACTGGCACTGGTCTCTAAACTGCTCGTGTAGGCGTGACAGAAACATCAGGCAGGCACTATGACCAGTAGCTGACTGAAGATATGAAAATATCCATCCATCCATCTTCTTCCACTTATCTGGGGCCAAGTCGCGGGGGCAGCAGCTTAAGCAGAGAAGCTCAGACCTCCCTCTCCCCAGCCAGCTCCTCCAGCTTGTCCGGGGAAACACCAAGGCGTTTTCAGGCCAGCCGAGAGATATAATGTCCTGGGTCTCCCCCGTGGCCTCCTCCCGATGGGACATGCCCATGACACCTCGCCCAGGAGGCATCCTTGTCAAATGCCCGAACAACCTCAGCTGGCTCCTTTCAATGTGGAGAAGCAGCGGCTCTACTCTGAGCGCCTCCCAGATGGCTGAACCTCTTGCCCTACTTCCAAGGGAGAGGCCAGCCACCCTTCGGAGCAAGCCCATGTCTGCCGCCTGTGTCCACAATCTTGTTCTTTCGGTCACTGCCCACAGCTCGTGACCATAGGTGAGGGTAGGGATGTAGATCGACTGGTAAATTGAGAGCTTTGCTTTTACACTCAGCCCCTCCGCGAATTGCTACCTTATCGTGGTGGAGGGGTTTGTGTGTTCCAGGGTCTCCCATGGCAAATTGGTCCTGGGTGAGGGACCAGACAAAGAGTGATTCAGAAGACCCCTATGGGAAGAACATAAAGGGAACAGTTCACCCTTCCCGGAGTGGAAGGGTGCCCGAGGGCGAGTGTCTGGTGGCCAGGCATTAGTTCATGGGTCCCAAAAAAGGGACATGGGCCCATCTTCCTGCAGGCCCACCACCCACAACAGGCACCGCAGGGGTCGGGTGCATTGTGAGCCGGGCAGCGGCCAGGAAAGGAAAGACAACTTTAGCTGGACAATCTCTGACTGCATTAATGCATCATTAAGATATGAACACAGCCAAACATACTGTATGCATCCTGGAAATGCCTTTTTTTGTTTCCCATACTGCAAATCCGTTGGAACAGATCCAACATAGACTGAAGCACACATCAAAGAATGAGAGCACGCTGTAGCTGCAGCTGATCACTGAGTATTGTACTTCATTTTGGCAGTCGGCAATTTGAATTCATGTGCTTGATATCCGTTACATAGTGTATTAACTCTCCTAGAACCATTTCATTAGTGTATATCATTAAATGTATGTACAGAGGCTTGTATGACTGTAAATCGTTTGTTTTCACCACGATCAATTTTAAATGCAGATGGAAGCCGTACTAATTTCCTCTAATTACTGAAATTAAAAACACGGTGTCAAGCATGTTTATTCAGTGCTAACTGGTTTATTATTTCTCCTGTCAGACCAGTATCAAGTGGTGTTTGAATGTGCGTGGGTGTAGACAGCAAGTGATTAATCAATTAATTAAAAACACGTTTTGGATAGACTGCATGTATTTGCATTTGTTTGAGCGCTTGCATTAAGTCATATTAGAGTAAATGGGGGGCCCGACATACAAAACCAGCTGTTAACTGCTGTGCAGCTGTGTGAAGTTGAATCTAAGGTTTCACTGAAATGTATTTTGAAGAAAAGTAGTATTAACATGGTTAATACATGGTTAAACATTAAAGTCATTTGTATGCTTGTCACTTGCACACCATGATGTCAACAGTTGGG